AAAAAAGTAGGTCTTTTATCAGCCTGTGCAAATAAATACACTAATAAATGTACAAACAGAGTCTATGAAACATAATGGGTTTTCCCCAGTATTTGTCATTTTCAGATATAAAATTAGGTGCTTAAAGAAACAGCATTAAACCTCTTAGCTGCTCAGGAACAGTGTGTGCCTCAGTAAGATGCTAAGTAGACTTTTGTGGCCCAGTGGAGCTTTCCTAATTTTCTAAATCTGCTACCAGGGAGTAACACCATTTAATGGAGAATCTGACCCGATACTAATATATGTAAAACAGAACAACCATAGAAAAATGCAGTTTTCAATGAGTTGTTTTGTGATTTACTTAAATATCCTAGTATGAATAAAATGCATTTATGTGTGCATATATATGTGTGTAAGCTATTTACAGTATGTTATGTACACATTTTTATGTGTAGAAAATAAAAATACACATTGATTAGCCCTTTTGAGGCTTTTGAACAACTGTTTCTTCTTCCTGCTTTCCTGTAGCTGCTTTGAGGATTTAGATAATTCATACGAGGTATGTACACAATCACACCCATAGTATGTACATCCTAGTCACACACTTAACATGGAGAGGATGTGTGAGGAATGGAAATCATCCCAGTGGTCAAAGAACTGACCTTACCTGTGACTAATGGCATGGTTAATTAGCCCTGGCGTATTTAGTAACATGCCAATGTACTGATTACTATATTCAGTCTTTGTGATAATTATGTAATCTACTTTTGAAGATGATTAAAAAAACAACAGCCCTTTCTGACCTTCAAAAATGAAAGGACTGTTACTGAATACACATGCACACTTTTGTTGGCTTTATTCACTTTTGTGCATGTGCCTACCTTATGACAGAACTTGGCCTTAAAATGGGATACGGCATGTTATTTTTTTCTACACATAAAAATAGAAAACCAACCACTCGCAGACCATACACACCTACAGAAGTATTGACATACCACGACCAGCTACAGTATTATGCACAACATATTGTTCACAACATATTAGTACAGCAGAGATAAATACATTTAGACATTTAGTCATTGTTAGTATATTTCTTTCTTGAGTTTCCAGGCCCCATTGACCTTTCTCAACCTTAGTTAAGGTATCTCAAGATGCCCTTAAAACAAGAATTAGTCCCTCCTCTCCTCTGGGATTCAGGAGTATGACTATAATACTGCAATCTCCCGATTTATTAACATCACTTTAAGACATGATGGAAAACATTATGAAAAATAATTTTACTCAAAGATGCAGTTAAAATAAATGTTAAGGAATCTAATCTAAAAATCATTAAAAGATACTGATAAACCTGGATAAGCTTTTTTACTCATTTAATATAGTTTACTCTATATGTAGTCTTTACTTGATATTAAAAGCAATAAGAATCAGAAAAAAATTGTGTAACTGCTTAAAAGTCTTTCTAAAGAATAGACAATTTAATTTTAAAGTAATAAAGAGTAATGCTAGCAGCAATGTCAAAAAGCAAGCTATAATTTTCACCCCAGAAATAAGTGGATGACATCCCCACATCTTAAGAAATCAAAAGAGAAGTCAGCATTTCTCTCCCATTTAATTCTCCTTAACACACTTAAATCACTGCCGTATCATCATAATTGTCAGCATGCTGGTTGATCATCAGTACCTTTTTCTGAAGTGCAAATTATCTGACTTTTATTCCTACTGTTTTGCAGCCAGTGGAGTTGAGCTTGAAACCAAAAAGATACTTGATGAAGAAGTAGTATTTAGGAACGCCCATCTGGAACATCATTTTCTTTCTGTAAGGCATTATTTGAGGCCCCTTTTGATATGAGTACTCATGTTTTAGTTACTTTACATTTGGAAAACCATTTTTTTCATAGCTAAGGTGGGCAATCCTCCAGGCAGAGTTAATCCAATTGCTTTACATGCAAGTGTCCAGGAAGAGTAATGACCATATGTTTAATTTCTCCATTTCTCCAAGTTTCCGGTTGGAGCTGTCTTGAGTTTTAAGCTAGCAAGACTTTCTGACTCCTTTCCTGTCTTGGCTGTTAACCATGTCCCTAATAATGCTCACTGGTGTTGTACCTCTGTCATAAGCTCATAATCAAGCTTTTCCAGTAAGAAAGGAGAAATGAAGCCTTTACGTCTTTATCCTGTGGGTTACAGTCTTCATGGAGCAGACCATGACTATATAGTGGTGTGCCCATAGTAGATGCACTTGCTGGTATAACTGCCTCTTTTTGGCACATTATTGCTTGGCTTTAATTTCATATTCAACAGTCTTTATTCTCATGATTAGTTTCTGAAATATCTGGAACTTAAAACACACACACACACACACACACACACACCAAACTTGTAAATAACATCTTGTTGCACCATTCTGGCCTCCACAGTCATTTCACCAAGGCCCATGGTTATTTAAATGTCCTTTAAAATGATCATCACCTTGATTACCTAAGAGCCAACAGTAATTTTTTAGGCTATTTTGTTATTTCTATCTACACATATATACCGATGTATTGGATTTACTTAGAGAGGTTTTTTGGTTGTGGCAAGTGAGTAGGTTAGCTGGTGAGTGTTCACAGTTAAAAGTAGTTGTCATGACCTCTGGTTACTTGTGAGACAGAATTTTCCCACCTTCATCCACTTCATCTAGGTCCTTGGTCATTGCAAATCAAGTTTATTTTATTTCTGTAGCCAAGGAGAGTTTTTTCCCCAAGACTAGGATAAAGTTCATGAAAATCTATTTCAATATTTACAAGACTATTTTTTCCTTTTTTGCAAAAATGTCTAAAATTTTGTAGCCACCCTAAGTCCACGCATCTGCACAGATGACATTTATAATTACTCAGCCAGTTGCAGAATTTCATTAGGAAGGAGGGACAGGAGCTTCTGCATATCACTTGTCGTTTGCCAAGGGGCAGCAGCTGGCCAGCATTTGGAGAGATTCAACCAAAAGGGCTTCACACAAGGAACATTGCTAACAGGAAACAAATGCTCAGATATGAATATAAAATAGTAAATACAGAAGCAAACGTGGACAAGATTTCTGATTTACTGTATAGAAAAAACAGGGGTGGGGACAAGATGGTCAGTTCATTCGTCAAGATACTGCTGAGTTCACTGTATAATTATCACAAAGGGGAATTCACAGGCCTCATTTCTCAAACACCACTTAGGACAAAGCAGGAGAGAATAAACAGCATCATCTCCATGGCAGCATTGTAGATGATTGATAAATCAGACAGGTAGAGGCCTACAAAAGTCTGCAAGTACCTAATTTTCAGTAAAAACACATGTACATATATGCAAACCTTATTCTAATGCACTGTTTTTCTTTATATTGATTCTTAACAAGTAGACAAGGGATGTGGTGAGTTATATGGTACTAGAAGTGGACAAATCTTTTAACACATGTACAATATGTTGGAGAAACATTTTCACATTTAGGCAGTAAAACAGAGCAGATATAGCAAAGGCCAAATAATTTACATTAATAGCATACTCATATAGATCCCCTGTAAACACATTTTAAAGTCATGTCATAGTATATTTTTCACGTGGTATATACAGTATTCCAGAATGATAGGAACTTCTTTCTGGCTTTCTATTTTAAGATGACAAGCTCAACCCTATTAAGATTTAGTTTCAAAATTCAAGCTCCAGGTTATATGTTATACATGCATATTCAGTCAAATTCATTTAAATTTTGATATTTAACCTATAGCATGTAGAACACTGGTATCTGGAATGAGTATCAGATAATTCTAAAGATTAAAAAAACCATAATAAAATCAAATGATATTCAATATGTCTGAACTTACGAAGGTAGGAAATAATACTCATATAGGGTATAAATATATCATTTTGGATGCAAACAAAAAGGTTTCTGGTTAGCTTTAACCTAATAAAATGTTCAACTCATGCCACAGATCCAAAACATACAGAGGTTGATTACAAACTTACTATATGTGAAGTAATTGGTCTGTGCATTAAAACTAATAATCAAGAAAGACAAAATTAGAAAAGCACTAAAGATAAACATATGACAGTTGAAGGGATGACATTTTCTTGTCATCCTAAAAATAGAAAAATCATGATTTCAATTAAAAAATCTATTATTTCCCCTGACCGGTTTGGCTCAGTGGATAGAGCGTCGGCCTGCGGACTGAAGGGTCTCAGGTTCGATTCCGGCCAGGGGCATGTACCTTGGTTGTGGGCACATCCCCAGTTGGGGGTATGCAGGAGGCAGCTGATCGATGTTTCTCTCTCATCGATGTTTCTAGCTCTCTATCCCTCTCCCTTCCTCTCTGTAAAAAATCAATAAAATATATTTTTTTAAAAATCTATTATTTACTGGGTAGGCTGCAAGGCCTCTTAACATTTTAAATGTTTCATTATCTCCCAGACTCTGTGTTCTAACTCATTTTTCTTTTACTATTGGTTCAAGAAATATTTTATATTTATTTACTTAATAAAACACTTCCTTCATTTATTTCAATAATTAAAATGCATTAAGAAGAATCAAACCATAACCAAAGAAATTAAGGACAAAAACCAACAACTTTCAACCCAATGTGTGTCCTGCAGGTAAGGAATAGCCAAACAAGTTCAAAGAGTCTGCCATTAAAGTTGTTTTGCAACCCCATTTACTGAGTGAGCCTAAGGAGTCATGAATGACAGAGTGAATGTTTATGCTGTGTCACAGACCAAAGTGAAGGCAAAATTTCAAATCAAGGTTTTATTGTGAGAGTACGTAGGGTATCATAATGTAAAAACATGGCTGTCTTGAACAGGCTCCTATCTTATTTATCCATTTGATGATCTATTTCTGTTACTATTTTTTTAAAAAAAATTATATATATTTTCTGATTTCAGAGAAGAGGGAGAGGGAGAGAGACATAGAAACATCAATGATGAGAGAGAATCATTGATTGGCTGCCTCCTGCATGCCCCCCACTGGGGATCAAGTCTGCATCCTGGGCATATGCCCTGTCCGGGAATCAAACTGTGACCTCCTGGTTCATACATTGATGCTCAACCACCGAGCCATGCCAGTCGGCCTCTGTTACTGTTCTTAAAAGCTGTTCCTTCTATAAGATTCAATAAACAACAAAACAAGAAAGCTTTTGAAATATTTTCTGACAATTTCTACAGTATGGCAGAAGTAAAGATAAATAATAAAGAATTAAAGATTAAGAAGTCAGGGTTAGTGCCAGCACCAAAGAAAACCAGTTAAAGTTACTATCTCAAACATTAAGTTTTACTGAGAGGCACAACTATACCAAGTTTAGTTTTAATTAATTTAATTTTAAATTTATTTAATGTGCAACAAATGCCTACAACTCTTTGAGGCCTCTGTCTCATTTAACTATTTATAAATCATGTGGTTACTCCAAACGCATGAAAATAAATATTATTACCAGATGCTGAATTCTTCCTTTTCTCCTATGTGAATGCAGGAACAGCCTGTTCTAGCCACTTTGCACAGAGGATTACCTGGGGCCCACCCAGCTGCAGTGGGTGCTGTTGACAGCTGCCATTGTGTACACAGGGTGTTCTCTGTGTGTACACAGCACGTGCGACATGTGAGGGAGACAACAACATGAGCGAGAGACAGGAGTGAGATTACATCCCGGAAAAGGCATCTCTGACAGAAGTGACATGAACATTACTACAAATGGATATTTAAGGCCAAAAGAGAGTTTTAGACCAAATCTCTAATCATTAAATAATAATGTGATTGTTAATTTGATGGTAATTTCTACTTCAGACAGCATTCTCAATAGAGGCCAACTGTTAAGAAACTAAAAATTGTATCATGAAAAAATTCATTATAAATTCCAAATACAAGCACTGTTAAGTACCATTCTCAGGCTCTGAGAATGCTGTGACTGTGGTCTCCTATGCAGGCCTTGTATACAGTCCAGTTGATTTGAAAGAAATCAATGGCTATTACTAATTTAGGTTGTGTCCAGTGTAGCTTGTGTTAAAGTTCAAGTATGATTTCCTCCAATATTTTCAGCATCTGCCAAAAAGAATTAAAAAAAAAAAAGCCAGAACAGGGACTTTTTGAGTTCATGCAAAAATGGCATTTATGAGTCTCTGGAGAGAGAATACATGGCCATCTGTCTCATCTAGGAGAGTGAGTTTAGTGAAGGCAAGCAGTGCCTCTTCAACATCTAACAACCTGATTTTCTAAATGCAAGGTGGTGAGCAGCGATCTCCCTACATTGAATCCAGGAGGGGAAGCCTTTCCAGGGCCCTAGCTCATTCCCCTCTTCCTAGCTACCCCAATTCTCAAGCCACTGCTGGTCATCCTAGCCCAGTGCCTGCAAGACACTCATGGATCACATGGACAGGGTCAATTTCTGGAAGCAGGAAGGGGCTGAGCTCAAACAGGTGCCTATGTTCTCCAGGACCAAAGCTCAAACTGTGTTTTAGTAAAAGCCTCTCTTTTCTTGGGTTTGAAGAATGAGATATGACGGTATTTCTCTTAAAATCAACATTTGCAGAGGTTACCTTATTGCTATAGATTAGAAACGTAAGCAATTACATGATATTAGTCTACATCCAAAAACTGTAAGGAAGCTGGTATTCTATTTGCTGTTGACTACATTTCCTATTAGAAGTTACTGAACCAGACCAAAAGAAACACACAAACTGCCTCCTGTTTAGTGGAGTCTAAATTAAACCCATTGTTTTTGTTACTCAGGAAATTTTCCTTTTTTTTTTCAACACAGAGAGAAGAGTGTTTGTTAACTTGTTGTTTATGATTCCTTACCAAAACCTTAACATTTCAGTAGAATGTTTTTGGAGAACACCCGTACAACATAAAATTTAATATTATCAATAACTTGATGACTCTTTTCAAGAATTCAGCCACATGTACTTCCTCTGGGGTAAGGAAATGAGAATTTAATCTAGTCTGAATCACAGAGATGCATCTTGCCTTTGGTGCTGGAAAATCTGTATATATAAATTCATGTATTATGTGGGCAGTATTCATATTCGAAAGCATAGCTAATTTCCCTCCTATAACTTTCTTAAATTTATGAAGAGGTATAACAAGGTTTACAAAAATGGTTATCTGTAGACGTTTACAAATATTAATTCATATTTGGTATCGTATGCATTTAAATGCTTTTACTTCATGTCCTCTGGCCTAGGAATGAGTCAAATTTGTTTTACCTTTTTTCCATTATAGTTCTTATCAGCTACTTAAATTTTGCATGGTAACAGCATTCTTGTTGCAACAGGACTAGAAAGTGTAACGGTGGTTTTGCTAATAGCGTTTCTGGTATTTTTAACACAAAGCCGGGGTTTTAATGGAAATACCATAGTGGGTTCAATTGAAACAGTGGCACAAAATGACACACGTATAATGACAATGCTGGTTCTCTAAGCAACAACCTATGAAAAAAAACCCCAGTGAATCTTATTTCCTCTTGATTGAGGTGGAGAACTTTCAGGGAAGCTTGCTTTTCTCTTGTTCCTTCTTGCAGAGTGAAATGTCTTCGTTTCCCTTGTGTGACCCGAACTGAAAAGATATTTTAATTTATGGAGCTCCAGTCAAAGGACCCAACAATTCTTAGTAGCAATTTCCTGTAGTTAATACTCGCTTTCTCTTCTTTGTCTCTGGGGGATGGGGGTGGGAGGAAACCGAGCAAGCTCTGACCTGGACGGACACGTAGGAAGACCCTCAAGGTGTACCAGGGCTCCCACACACGCTCCCCGTCAATCTAACACCGAGGACGGGGCAGGGCGGACGCAGCAGTTGGGGCGTCGGAAGTTCTGCAGCATGGACTGGAACACGCCGTGCTGCCTGCCTTTGAGCTTCTTATTCGAAGACGTATCCGAGGAAATGGACCTCCGGGCCTGGCTGCTTTGCGCTTTGATGGATTTCTCGTGCTCCCGGATCTGTCTCTGTAAATGGTTCTGGATGGCGACGCCCAGCGACTCCGGGTCCAGGGAAGCGCCGTACACCTCCCAGGTCATGCCCTGCTCGTCCCACACCACGTCCCTGACCCGCTTGGACTGTTTCAACTGCAGCTTGGAGTCGGCGCCAAGCTGCTTCTTCTTCTCTCCTGGGGTGAGTCCCACCTGGGCGGCCGCCGTCACGTTGAGCTCCTTGAGGAACTCGCTGACCCGGCTGGCCCGGCGCGGGCTGGCCTTGACCGAGCGAGAAGGGGTCTTCTTGCCCGAACTAGGACTGGAGTCACCCATGGGTTCAGACGGCAGGCTCAGGCTGGTGGCTGGTTTGGCCGGCCTGTGTTCTTCCACGGTGCCCTCCTGGTTATTTCTAACGGGGGAGGGTATGGGACTGGCAGCTGACCCCGAGCCTCCACTTTCTTGAGCTTTAGGATTGAGCAGTAGGCTTTTGCCCTCTGCCCTTGCTTTCCCATCCAGGAGATTCGTGCCTTTCGATTCTTGTTCTTTTCCTACCGGAAGAGATGCAGGCTTCTTCTCTCTTGCATCTCCTTTATCGGTGGGGTCCGAGCCCCCGAACTGGTCAGCTTGGCTGGCAGGCCCACAGGAGGCGGAGAGTTTGCAATCAGGGTCTGTTTTGTGGCCACCTGTGGTGTTCACTGCCAGCTCAGATGGCTTGGTTCCAAATGTCCCCAACCCCTGACTGGTTTCGTCTTGACTTCCTGCACGGATGGAAATCTGGTCGGTGAGGCTAGCTTTCAGGGAGCTGGAATTAGCAGAAAGCTGTTTAGAAGTGGGCTCTGCCCTCCCTGGGGTCATTCCAGCTGACCGCCCATCATCTGTACGCTTGTCCTGGGCATTGCTGGATGCCTCATTGATGGATGAGGTATTGGGGACCTCCCCTGGCAGGCTCACCCACCTACTATCCCCTTGGAGAACCGTGGAGACAGCTGCAGCTGCCTGGCTGTGCGCCTCTGGCATGATGCCAGGGCACCGCCCCGACTCCTGGGGGGATAGCTTGTTGACTGACAGCTCCAATGTGTGGCTCCCACTGCTGCCGTGGCAAACCACACGTAGCTGCTCTTGTTCCAAACGCTCACGAGCAGGGGTTTCCTTTAAGAACGCAGTGAGGATGCTGGGGCTGGTGGAGACGGATCTGCTCTCGACACTGGCCACGGCCTGCACCTCCGCATCTTGCTGAGCCCTGTTGGGAACTTGCTTGATCTCATTTTCAGCCTGATTGGTCATCGTACTGGCTTCTTTGAACCTTGACGCCTGGTGCTGTGCTGCTAGCAGCGTCTTCTCCGGCTCTGGAGGAAACGTCGAACCTTTGCTGGAGAGGTGGGATGATTGAGGTGTCCCAGGACTCACGGCCTGGGTGTCTGCGGTGGTGGCAGAGGGCTGTGTGCTCCCTGAACATCCGTCTTCTCCGGCTGGAGAGTCACAGGCCCTGGTCTTGGCGTCGGACATGGCTCCCTGCCTGTCCCCTTCAGGCCCGCCGGCAGGAGGGGCGGCACGACTGAGCATCCTGGGCGCTGTGTTTGCAGTCTGCACCACTCCCGGGATTGTGTCTTGAGAAGGAAAATCACGGGGCACTTGATCTTGGCTGCTGCTACCAGTGCCTCCCACAGGACAGCTCGGCGTCTCAGATTGCTCTCCATCTGAGGTTCTCTGTGATTTCCCCAGGGTCTCTTCAGATCCCGAGGAGGCGCTGGCGTTGGGCTGGCCCCCTGGGATGGCCTGGTGGTTGTGCTGACTGGCTGGCATGGTACACGCTGTGTGTATAAGATCCTTCACTGCTGCAGAACACGGGGTTGGTGCTGTGGGCTTGCTGTTTCCTGGCCGCTGGGTATTGCCAGGGGAGTTGAGTGTGGGAGATGCTTTCTCCACCTCATTGAAGATGCCAGGAGAAGACATGTCCGGCCGCGCGGCCTCATGCTCACAGGCCTGCATCAGGGCCTCCGAAGCTGCCCGGGGGCTGAGGGCTGGTTCCCGAGGCTTGCTGGAAAGGCCATCGGTGTTCTTACACAGGAGGGCTGGTTGAGGCGGAGGTGAGGCAGCCTGTACCTCTCCTAGGTCCTCTTCTTTTCCGGTAGCTGTGATCAGGGAAGTTTTAGCTAATATTAGAGGGTCAGGTACAGTCCCCATGGGATTTCTCTTCAGGAAAACCTCAGAGCTCTCCCCTGAGCAGTGCTCCCACTGGGAAGCTGTCGTAGGTCAGAGTGAAGACACAATCAGGGATGATTTCTCTGAAGGACCGATCTGTGAATCAAAGAAACAGTACTATTAATATAATAGGGAATTTAAGGATTGAAGATACACCTGTTACTTATATAAGGACTATTAAGTGCATTGAAAATCATGCTTCTCCAAATCTGTTTGTATAAAAATATATAGATCATGGAAAGTAGATTTTGGAATTTTTTTAAAAACTATACAGGTGCTATTTTGATATATTAGTTTGATTTTGCATTCCACTGCTGTCTAGCAAATAGGTTTTTAATGTATTTGCCTAAGCATTTGATAACTACCTTAAAAATCATTTGTGTAATCTGATTTACCAGATATCAGAAAATCCAAAAATCCTGTAAAGCTACTGTGATCAAATCAATAAGTATTGAATATAGGGCCTACACAGACTTGTGAAATAGAATATCTAGAAATTGATCCACATATAAATGAGATTGGATGTATAACAAGAGAGGCATTTCAATTTAGTGGCAAAAGGATGGATTACTTAATATAAGGGACTGTCAAACTATTTATTCATCTGAAAGAAAAGAAAACTAGGTCTTTATCTTACACCAATTCCAAAAAGAAATCCTAGATGGATTTAGATGGATTAAAGGTTAAAATATAAAATAAACAAAAAACAAAAAGATAGATCAATTAATAAATAAATGTCCTGTAAGGGAATCTAGGAACCATAAAATAATCTAGGGACAGGGATGATAAACTTCCCTTGGAAGGCAGAAAATACAGCAACTATAAGAAAAATATAAGCATAGTTATCTAAATAAAATAAAAAAATTTTGTGTGGCAAAGATACCATAAACAAATACAATAGATTTGAAAAAAAAATGCTTGCAGCTCTAGGAGACAGGAAAAATATCTATAATACAGTAGAAGCTCTTAAAAATTTACAAGGAGACAAAATAGCTCATTGCAAAAATGGGTAAAGAACATGAAAATGCAATCTGCAAGATCGGAAGTCCAACAACCAACAAGCTTATGAAAAACTGATCACATTCATTTGTAGTCAAAGAAATGCAAAAAAGTAACAATTGGATTTTACTTTGTACCAATTGTACTTAAAAAAACTTCAAAAAACAGTTATAACACTATAGCCTAGGGAGACACCTAGCTAAAGAAAGTATTTTTCTTAACTGTAGGTATGAATGTGTATTGTTACAGCTTTCTTAAGAAAGCAGTTTAATGTTTATAACTAAAAATAAACATATCATTGATCCAGTGATCCCAATCAAAACAAAATACCAGCATATATATTTAGGTACAAGTATGTTTACTGAAGTACTATTTGTAGAGGCAAAAACTGGAAACAAGCTGATCTCCATGAATGGGGGAATAGCAAAAATAATCAAGACATATCTCTACTGAGAGCATTATGCAACCATTAAAAGAAACCATTGCCCTGGCCGGTATAGTTCAGTGGGTCGAAGCATTGTCCCTTACACCAAAAAGTATAGGTTTGATTCCTGGTCAGGGCACATACCCAGATTGTGGGTTCGATCTCCGGTCAAGGTGTGTACAGGAGGCAACTGATCGATGTTTCTCTCTCACATTAATGTTTCTCTCTTTCTCCTCCTCTATCTTCCTCTCCCTAAAATCAATAAAAACATATCCTCGAATGGGGATTTTTAAAAAATTAAAGCTAACCTCCCCCCCCAAAAAATACTAATTAGGCTGTAACTTTTCACTTGAGATTTCCCCAAGTATGGTTGAATGAGAAAAGCAAGGTACAGAAAAGAGTATGTAAGTTTTAATTCTTGTAAAGCAGTGACCTAAAACACTACATATGTATGTGCTGTTTGTATGTGTGTGTGTGTGTGTGTGTGTGTGTGTGTGTACAGATATGTTTGTATGTGATTATATAAATTCTAAAAATATTCAGAAGACATATTAGGTATTAAGTAGAAGGAGTGTGATGAGTTGGAGACAGGGAGAGATGGAGGTACCCAAAGGTGGGAAAATACTAAATTTTAAAAAGTATATCTAAAAATTTATTTGTGTGCCTTTATGCATAAACATTTTTTTTACTTAAGAAAAGATAACCAGGTGATGTGAATAAAGCAATGTTTCAGAAACTAGTGGATGACTATGTTTTGGTATTACCTCTTTTTCTCATAGAGTCTGTGACCTCATGCTAATCACTTAAACTTTCTGGACTCCTAATTAACTCATTGAAAAAATAAATGATTTCAGAGGAGCTTTGTGGTATCAAAATTCAAGGATCTTACATATTTGCATGTGATGGATAATAAATCAAATAGCACACTCTTGACTCAGGATATAAAGGGTCAAAATAAGGCAAATTTGGTTGGGCCCAGATTTTGAAAATACATAATTTTATCTTTTAGTTTAATGGTATTTGGCTGACCGATAATCATATGAAATCTAGCAGTGAATCCAACTTCTCTTCTCCCCTAAATCAGTTCTTCCTGCTAACTTCATTATTAATGATAATGGGTTGAATATTTTCCCATCTTTGGTTTTTACTACTTCCTGCTCATTCAGACCATGTCCTCAGTTTGTTTGTTTGTTTATTTATTTATATTTAAATTTATCTTGTTGAAAGTATGACAGTCCCCCCACCTCAGGTTTATAGTCCATTTCTTCCTTACTGCAATTCTCTATTGCATTCACTTGCTGTGCCCCAACCACATCTTTCCCTCTCCTTCTTTTGTATCTGTCTTTATTATACCCTTCCTTCCACTCTCTGCCCTCTCCCTCCTGAAAAAGCTTATATACTCTTCATGGTCCCACTTAAACCCCACTTACTTTACTTTCTGAAGGTCTCTAAAGCCTTCAAATCATAAAGTCTCTCTCTTTATTTTTTGTGTTAATCCTCAGCAGAGGATATTTTTTTCATTGATTTTCAGAGAGAGTGGATGGGAGGAGGAGAGAGGGAGAGAGAGAGAAAGAAACATCAATGTGACAGAAACACACAGATTGGTTGCCTACCTCACCCAACCCAACAGGGGGCGGGGGATCGGAGTGGGGATCAACCTGCAACCTAGGTATGTGCCCTTGACCAGGAATTGAACTCATGACTCATGGGTGCACAGGCTGACGCTCTAACTATTGAGGCATGCCCACCAGGTCAAGTATCTCTCTCTTTTAAAAAGCCTATAGCTATGTTAACCTGGGTCTTTTGTATTATGCTTTTATTAATGCAGTTTTTGTACCGTTGTTCCTTGTATAAATGCCTTATTTATCCCAAAGTACTTTAAGCCTCAGGAGGGAATGGGACAAACTTATTGATTATTTTCCGTTCACAGGACACTGCAGGATCTTGTGCATAAAAAGGTATTAATTGACCCAGCTGGTGTGGCTCAGTGGTTGAGCATCGACCCATGAACCAGGAGGTCGCAGTTCGGTTCCTGGTCAGGGCACATGCCCGGCTTGATCCCCAGTAGGAGGTGTGCAGGAGGTAGCCAAACAATGATTCTCTCTCATCATTGATGTTTCTATCTCTCTCTCACTTCCCCTTCCTCTCTCTGAAATCAATAAAAACATATTTTAAAAATGTATTTAAAAAAGATATTAATTGATCCCATTTCTTTCCAAAATGGCCACTATTAATGTCCTACCAAACTTCAAAATAATAGGAAATTTAAATCTATGGCATGAAATAAAAATGAAAACACAATAAAAAAGAATGCTGTGTTTGGAAGTAAGAAAACAGTTGTATCTTACTCATTAAATTTTATGTATTTGCAATGTAGGTTTAGACAATTAAAGATAAGTACATTGGACACCTGCTACAAAACGCTGGAAGGTCTCATAAAGCCAGGAATACAGAATGCCTCCTACATTATACCTTGGCCTAGAGCCAAGAAACCTGGTTTGCCAAGAGGACTATAAATTTTGAGTAGCTCAAAGTTCAGCAACTGAAAGTTGAAAGATTTAGAAAAAGATGAGGGATTTCATAAAACTCAGTCCTTGAGCTTACTTCCATTGTCCTATAGATAGCTAATTGTACTCGTTTAACTTTGAAAGGGTTTGTTTGCTTTGTTAATTGAGGTTAATTTACCCATCATTTAAGGAATAAAGATGGAAAGCCCAGATTAACACCTGTAATTAAGAATCTCTTGATTTATGAGCAGATAGGAAGTCAACACCACTGGATTACACAGACGCTGGTGTAATTTTCACAGCATCTCCATGTGCTTGGGAGAGGCTGCCTACGTTTTGAGACAATCTTCCCTCCACAACCCTCCACCTCCTCGCCCCCACCCTGAGCATTTTCCCCTCCCTCACCCACCGAATAGCAGAAATCATTAGTCTCCAATAGATTAGACACATAAGACATTTAAAAAGTGTAATTACTCAGTAGTTTAGAATGAGAATGTCTTAAAATCAATCAGTGTAAAAAATATCAACCAGAGTCCAAGATAAGATTTAACTTTGAAAAATTTAGAGGTTGCAAACAGGTGGCCCACATACTGACTGAATTCTTCCTGCAGGTGTCTGAGTGTGTGTGTGTGTGAGTGTGTGTGTGTGTGTGTGTGTGTGTGTGTGTGTGTGTGTGTGAGTGAGTGTCCTGCATGGTTTTAACTTCCATTCCCTTCCTTCCCTTTTCTTTTCTTTCTTTGTCTTTTTGAATCGAAGAGAACTTTCATAAAAATCCAGATTTCCCTCTTGCTTCTCTTTAAAAACTTGGAAGGTATGCATTTCCAGAAAGTAACACCAGAAGGTGCTGATAAGGGCTGTTCCAGCGGTTCTCAACGTGTGGGTCTCGACCCCTGAAAATACATCCTGCATATCAGATATTTACATTACGATTCATAACAGTAGCAAAATTACAGTTATGAAGTAGCAATGAAAATAATTTTATGGTTGGGGGTCACCACAACATGAGGAACTGTATTAAAGGGTCGCGGCATTAGGAAGGTTGAGAACCACTGGCTGTTCCCCTGGATGGCCCATTCTCCACCTGCCCTGTTTCACTCCTTCACATTACTTACCTGGGCTCCTGTGGACAGCTGAGTTTGAGAGCTTTGCCCCAAAAGCACTGACAG